CCATAGCTGTTTGAATTGGGGTTGATCTTTCATCAAAGTGAGGCCAATTTGTGAAATGGTGTAATATAAAAAGTACCCAAACCATGACAAAACGAACTGGGAAATAGCAACAGGAGCAGTGTCTAAAAGGATGTTAAGTGTTTATGTTAGGTAGATAGTGAGGGATTCTGGGTCTCCTAGGGATGAAAGTGGGTGCTATTGCCTTGGTACAATTGCCCCACCTGGGAGGAAGGACAACGGTGGACCCCAGGCCCCCATCTTGGTCCTTTTTCACCCTAATCCTCTCCCAAGTGACTGCCATACCTGGGGGAGGAGGGAACACCCTATGAATCGACCAATCATAACTTAGTGCACCAGCTGCAAAAGAATCCAGAGGACTCTCCAGCCCACAGGCCAAGCAGCACAGGTAACATAGAGTCCAGAAATTGAACTAGAACAACCCCCACATAGTTAAGACTCAAGTCATGCAACTCCCAACTGTCCAAGCAAAGTGGTTCCATGGTGATGTCTGAGCCACAGGGAGGTCCTAATCCAGGCATTATGAAACAAGACTAAGACCATAACCAACCCCTTTTTGCACCCTTCATTTTGCTCTCCCTTTGCTGCGACAATGGGTCCAGTCATCATCTGTGGCATATGTACCATGCTCTGTAAACATATATCTTGCTCTTGCTCTGTAATCTGATCTTTTTCTCCTCAATAAACCTCATTTTCATGCTTGCCTTACTTTGGTGCATCTGGTCATTCTTCAGCCATGAGCGTGTCAAGAATCAAATCTGACATTTAGAGGCCAAAGGTGTCATGACAGCCTTAAAGCAGTTGAAACATACGCCTTCCAGACCCTACAAGTTAGTAGAAGCTGTAAATAGAGAAAAGGTGTGGAGAATGAGTAGTTGACTGGGGAAAAGAGTGGGCACAAAGAGAAGCAAAGACTGAAAGTAGTGAAGTTAACATTAGTAACATAAATGTTAAAATATTAAATGGAAGATTCATGAGTTTGGGTGCAGAGATTCCCAAAGTTGCCTTGGATCCAATTCTAGTCAAATTGTGTTATTGAAGTCTCGTATATGTTGTCGAAACCACAAGGTGGTTTCAGTCTAGGTTCAGTTGCCCATGGCACAAAGATCCAATCATTGAGACAACAAGGATTGCCAAGGAAGAGAGGAATTCTTTAAATATGACAGATGGGAGAAGTTGTGTCAAATCTGTCTCTCCAACTAAGGGAGACCATGGGATTTTAAAGGAGAGGCCATGTGCATAGGGACAGGGCATGGTGTAACTAACAAGGAGCTACATGCATTGGGGGCAGGTTTTGAGGGATAATGAATTTTGGCATCTGGAAGTCTCCCCAGGGGCCTTCAAAATCTCAGTTCCTTTGTCTTGCAGAAAATCCACCATTTCTACGAAACAACTCAAAAGGTAAGTAGTTAGTTAAGGGAGAGGATTATGAAAATCATATGGAACAATTGAAATTCGTTCAGTACATTTCTGGAAATCTAAGATAGTTGGCATTCTCTACTGTATAACCATCAGGAATGTGGAAGTGATGATATTATCTTATATTAGTTCACCCTGCTTCTATCCTTATAGCATCTCCCCCTAAAGTTACCAAAGTTGGGTTCTAAAATATTAGGAAGCTTCTCTGCGCCCCTGATTCACTGCTTCAGTTGCCACCAGTGCTGCAGACTCTACCAAATGATCGAAGAACTCTCTGCAACACTGCATCTGAGAAATCAACCTTCTGGCTTTGGGAAAATCCCATGACTGCTTCATTACAATGTCCCAAAGGCAATGGGAGAGTACAGAATTCAAAACACCGTTTCAAAACTCAGATTATCTAGGATATTGAGGTTTCCACTGGGTAATTTTTGTGCAACTAATTCCCCATTCAGTCTCTTCAAGCAAGAGGCAGACAGCCCTAGCAGGTGACTTTATTTTTTACTCTTTATTCTTTTTATTTTAAGCAAAGTAATACATGCTGATACTCATCCTGTTAACACAGGTCTGTTGAGACCAGAGCATTTCCCAGCCCCACGTCACCTCCATTTTCCTTGCTTCTGAGTCAACTACTTTCAATTCTTTTTGTTCAGGAGTTGGTAAACAACCCATGAGCCAAATCTGGTCAACTGCTTGTTATGGTAAATAAAGTTTTATTGGAACAGCCATGCCCATATTGTCTATGGGAGCTTTCACTCTACAAGGGCAGAGTTGAGCAGTAGCCAGAGACCGCATGAATCCCAGGGCCTAAAATATTTACTATCTGTTTGCAGAAAAAGTTTGCCAACACTCATTTTGGTTGTAGCTTTTTTTCTGAGACAGAGTCTTGCTCTGTTGCCTGGGCTAGAGTGCCGTGGTATCAGCCTAGCTCATGGCAACCTCAAACTCTAAGCTCCAGCAATCCTCCAGCCTCAGCCTCCCAGAGTGCTAGGATTACAGGCATGAGTCACCGTGCCCTGCCCTGGTCGTACTTTTGACATTTACTTCCATATTACTAAAGAACATGGTTTTGTGGCTACTTTTTTTTTTTTTCTGATTTAGGCAATATCTATTAACTTCCCAGTATGCAATACAAAGATTTAGCTCCTTCCTCAGTGTTAAGAGTGGTGAACTTACTAGGTGCTCACGGCAAGAGTGGAGAAAGATTTTTCACACAAAGTTTAAGACAGAAAGAAGGAAAAGTTTATTTTACTTTTTCCACATGGAAAAAGGGCCAGTACAGAAGTGAAAAAGGGAGAGAGGAGGTGCTGGCCTAGAAAACCGCTACTGGGGCTTTTTATTTAGGGGTTGTAAAGAGAGGAAGAAGATTTATGGCTGTAGCCAAATTAACAGGGTATAGCTGTCAAACTGCGGCATTCATTTCTTTTTTTTTTTTCTTAGTGGCCAGCTGGTAACAGAAGCGCCAAGAGTTGGCTTCTCCCATTTTCCTTGGAGACAGACTTATCAGTGTGGATGTGCTCTTGTCTGTGATTTTGTCCTTGAGATATGGTTTTGGGCAGGAACTAAGGGCTGAAGCTCATACTCCTGCTGTTTGCTCAGGAACTCAAGGCTGTAAAAGCAAATTTTCAAAAGCAATTTAGTGTATAATCTATAGAATATAAAAGAGAAAGGCTTACATTTCCTTTCTGTATGCTCAGCTCTTTTCAGATGTTGTAAAAATAGAACCCTGCGGGGTGGGGTGCCTGTTAAAGAGAGAGTTCACATTACTGATTTTAGCCCTTACTGAGAGACTGTGGGTTTAGATAATTTTTTCTGTTATTTCATTAGCAAGGCTGTCCTTTCACTCAGCACATACACACACACACACACACACACACACACACACACACACACAGACTCTTCTCATCCATTCTTTCTAATATTATTATATGGTAATTTAAGTTAGAAGAAATCAATATTTAGTGTTTACAGTATCATGATCATGTATGCTATTTAGGGCTTAGCCCTGTAGTAAATCACAATTGTTTTCCATTCCTGCACTTCTTTCTGTTTTCCCAGAGATAATGTCAAAAGAAAACTGGAGTGGCTATAATATCACACAAGCAGATTTCGGAGCAAAGAATATTATCATGATAAAGAAGGTTATTTCATAATGAAAAAGGGGTCAATTAAGAAGATATGACAATCTTAAACATTTGTACACCTAATAATGGAGCTTCAAAATACATGAAGCAAAAACTGATAGATTAGTAGTTGCCTAGGGCTGAGGAGTTTGGGGAAAAATGGGAGTGACTAACGGGTACATGATTTCTTTTTTTGGCATTGAAAATATTCTAAAATTGATTGTGTATAATTCTTTGACTATATTAAACATGATTGAATTGCACACTTTAAATGGGTGAATTGTATGATACCTGAATTATATCTCAATAAACATGTTTGATAAAAGTTAAAAAGATACTATACTAGATGGAAATCTGGATCTACACAAAGATATGCAGATAACCAGAAATGGTGAATATGTGGGTAAACATAATATTTTTCTTATTTTAAAAATCTTTTTTAAAAACCTGTTTAAAGCAAAAATAATTTATTGTGCATTTATAACACAGGTAGAAGTAAAATTGTGACAATAGCAAAAATATAGGAGGGAAAATGGAAGAATACTTTTGTAAGCTTCTTATACTATACATAAAGTGGTATATTCTTGCTTTAAGGTAGACTGTGCTAAATTAAAGATGTTAGAAACCCTAGGGCTGGGCGTGGTGGCTCACGCCTGTAATCCTAGCATTCTGAGAGTCCCAGGCGAGAAGACTGCTTGAGACCAGGATCTTGAGACCAGCCTGAACAAGAGTAAGACCCTGTCTCTATAAAAAATAGAAAATTTAGCCAAGCGTGATGGCTCGCGCCTGTAGTCTCAGCTACTTGGAGACTGAGACAGGCGAATCGCTTGAGCCCAGGAGTTCGAGGTTGCAGTGAGCTATGACGATGCCACTGCACTCTAGCCCCAGCATCAGAGTGAGACTCTGTTTCAGAAAACAAACAAAACCCGCCCCCCCAAACCCTAAAGCAACCCCCTTAAAAAAATAACAACTATAGCTAATAAGCCAACAAAGGAGGCAGAATCATGCAAATCACAAGCTGAATTATTAAAAATTTCTCTATAAATCAAGAGAAGGCAAAAAGAGGTGGGCGAGGGAGAGAGAGAAAACAAGATGTGAAAAACAGAAAACAAACAGCAATCATAGTTACTTTAATGAAAATGTTTTAAACACCCACACTAAAAGGAAGAGATTGTCAGACTGTATAAAAAAAGCAAGACCCGCTACGTGCTATCAACAGGAGATCCAATTTGAACATAAATTTTGTCATTCCCTTCTTCCCACTGATTTCTAGGTAGCCGGTCAGCTCCGAAACAAAACAGAGGCCGTAGGATCCGCTTCTCAGCAGATGGGAAGTGATTTCCATCGCGCTAGCCAACCGATACGCGAGTTCCCCGCCACCCAAAGCCGCGCGAGAGTTTACTTGCGGCGCCGGCGTCAGCGTCACGTCGGCGTCGGCTTCGGCCACGTTCAGCGGACACGGGAGCAAGATGGCGATTCCGGGCAGGCAGTGAGTGATCCGGGAGTTAGGGTCAGGCTGGGGAATGAGAAACTACAGCGACTGTGTCTTTGGCCGAGGAGTTAAAGTGCGGTGGAAGTGAAGGGGCTGTGTCGTCAGGGAAAGAGACGGGAAAATACCCAGAAGTCCTGAGGAACATATATTCCCCTCCCCCATACATTTTCCAGGCTGGAAGCCCGAAGTTTGAGGGAGAAACTTGTGAGGAAATAAAGGAAGTTAGGCTGAGGGGCAGAGAGCGAGACTTTTCTATTTTCCAAAAGCTCGGTCTGAGGCCCCTCAGTCTTGCTTCCTACCCCGCGCTTGAGTTTCTCCCCGCTTGGATGCTCTCGGGCAGTAAGAAGAGAGACAATTCCTGGCTTCCTTAGAGGGCCTTGTTCTTGGCAGAAGCTCAAGTCCTGATTCCCGCCCTCCCTTCTCGTTTTAGGAATATTGTTCTGAGAAGCCACAGAAAAGGGTAGGCATGTAGGGAACTGGGGCATACGTTGCCGCAAAAGAGACAAATGTTGTACGTATTTGAAAGTTTTGCCTTTGATGTGTAATCCATACTTTGATGCGGCTTCCTGTGGTCTCTGCTTCTTAAAGGCCAAAATTCGAGAAACATTAAATGAGTTGGATCTGATGGGATGGTTCTCTCACATGCTCCGAGACAAAGCAAGTGAGCTTAATAAAGTGTAATAGGAACTTTCCCCATGGCTACTTAGGTTTTTCAGTTAATTTAATCTTTAAAGTTTTCGTGGGTTGCACACTATCCAATGACTTCCTAAAAACTGTGTAAAGTACACAATAGAAAAAAATGTAGCCGTTTTCTTGACTTGTTAGACCACAGGGATAATTTAAAGCATTTTTATCTTTAGTGGACATGAACTGAGCTTTCCACCAACGTGTCTTTTTTAAACTGTTGATACCACTTCACCATCTAAAACATTTCTGAGCTGTTCATTTACTTCTCTTCTTTGAAAATGGTATTTGAGTTTGACCTGGGTCCACAAATAATGACTTAGAGTAATTATAAAATGGCATATTAGAATTTTGAGATAACTGAAAATCAGTAACAGTCTGTTATGTGTTCATAAGGCTTATGGCATGTTTTGATTTGATATCTTCATCCGGAAGAGATAGTGGATGTATTATTTTTTAACATTTAAAGATAATAGTGTAATTTCTGTTTCAAAAAAAAATATGCAGGTATGGGCTTATTTTGCCAAAGAAAACACAGCAGTTGCACCCTGTTTTGCAAAAACCGTCAGTGTTTGGGAATGATTCTGATGATGATGATGAGGTAAGGGATCCTATATTTCACTCCTGCATTGTTGGAAATGTAAAATTTTTGAAAATTGAACTTCTGAGTTTGATGTCTTTGCGTTTATTAATTTGTCAATACAATGTTTCAGAGTATGGATTATCAAAAGGAATGTTTAAAGAAAGAAACCACCAATTTTTCTTTCTTTAGAATTTTTTTTTCCCAAAATTTGTGAACTTCACTTACTTTTAAACAGTTACACAAAGTAATTTCAGACAGCTAAAATTGATGTAACAAAATTATCGCTGTAAAGATCCCTAGGAATGAGTTAATAAGATGTCACCAATTTCCTAGAAATTTTTATTAGCAAAGTAGTTTCTGATTAGTTAACCATGATTTAAGATGATTGTATAAGAATTCTTTATTGGACTACTTTTATGGTTATTTCTTCAGTGTCTGCTAGATGTAATTGCTCAGTTATAATTATAGTAGTAAATAAAGTTACCATTGATAGCACTGCTAAAACATCTAATATGAACATTTTCTATTTTAGCAGCCAAAACTGTTTTCCTGTGAAACCCACAATGTATAGCAGAAACAACCCCAAATGTGTGCTTATCTAATATTCCAGTCATGTTTTTATCTCTCTTAAAACAAAGACCTTTGCATCAGTTAATCTGGGACTTCTTTTGGTCTGGCAGAAAAATAGCTTTTCAGTTAGTTTACTAATTATGTATTCGGCTCTATATGGCTCACATTTTTTACAAATAGAGATATAATTTACATATAATAAAATTTGCAGATTTTAAGTATATGGGTTGATGATTTTTGACAAATGTATATGCTGCAATCAAGATGTAGAACATTTCCCTCTCCCGTGAAAGTCCTTCCACACCCCTTTTCAGTCAACCTCCCCACATTCTGCCCCAGATAACTGCTCACATTTTCGTCACTTGGATTAGTTTTGCCTGTTCTATTAATAGAATTTCATATAAAAGGCATCGTACAGTACGAACTCTACGTCTGACTTCTTTTACTTAGTATAATGTCAGTGAGATTAATCCATGTAATTGTAGAATCATGTGGTTTTTTTGTTTTGTTTTGTTTTTTTAAAGTAGAGATGGGTCCTGCTGTGTTGCCCAGGCTAGACTCAACTCCTGGGCCCAAGCGATCCTCCTGCCTCAGCCTCCCAAGTAGCTGGGACTATAGGTGTGTGCCACGACACCTGGCTAATTTTTCTATTTGTAATAGAGACAGGGTCTCATTCTTGCTCAGGCTGGTCTTGAACTCCTGAGCTCAAGCGATTCTCCTGCCTCAGCCTCCCAGAGTGCTAAGATTACAGGTATAAGCCACCGTGCCCAGCCTCAACTTTAGATTTTTAAGTAGTTTTTGAGTAGGTCAGTGATATGACCACAGTTTTATCTTGGGAAGATAACTCTTAAATTGTAAAGTACAGATGGGGAGAAATGAAAGTTGAGGGTCAAGATGCCTGTTGGAAGGCTTTTATAGTTCAGGTGAGAAATGACAATCTTAACTAGGGTGTGGTCAGTGGGAATAAATCAAGACAAATATGAGAGATACCACAGAAATAAACAGGACCTGGCAGCCAAATTGAATATATGGGAAAGGAAAGAGATGAGTTGTATATTAACTGTAAGGATTTCTATTCTGGGTGGCTAAGAAGGTTAACACAGGAGGAAGGGCAGGAGATTTGACACTCGTGTCCATTTGTTTATTGTACAGTGGAGAAGCAGATAACATTTTAAGATTTATTTACAGGATCTTTTTTTATCCTTATGTAAGATCTTTTTTTTGTCATTTCCCCCCATTAAAAAAAATTGAGATATAATTCACATACCGTCTACTTCACCCTTTTAAAGTGTACAATTCACTGGTTTTTAAGAGTTATACAGCCATCACCTATCTAATTTTAGAATATTTTCATCACCCAGAAAGAAATCTAGTGCTCATTACAGTCACTCCTCATTCTCCCCACCCCCACATCCTGGCAACCACTGATCTACTTTCTATTTCTGTGGTTTTGCCTGTTCCGCATGTTTCATGTAAATGGAATCATGCAATAGATGGCCTTTTCTGTCTAGCTTCTTTCACATTAGTGTTAGCAAAATGTTTTCAAGGTTTTAACATGTATCATGTATCAATACTTTATTTCTTTTTACTACTAAATAGTATTTCATTATATGTATATACCACATTGTATTTATCCATCGGTGGTAGGCATTTGGGTTTTTTCAAATTTCTGGCTATTACAAATAGTGCTGCTATAAACATTTGTGTATAGGTTTTTGTGTGGACATATATTTTCATTTCTGTTGGATATATGCTTAGGAGTCAAATTGCTGGTTCATATAATCACTCCATGTTTTACTTTTTGAGGAACTGCCAGGCCGTTTTCCAAAGTGGCTGCACAATTTTGCATTCCCATCAGCAGTGTACTAGGGTTTCGACATTTCCACATCCTTTCTAACACTACTTATCTTTTTTATTATAGCCATCTAGTGGGTGTGAAGTGGTATCTCATTGTGGTTTTGATTCACATTACCCTGATGGCCAGTGATGGTCATTTTTGTATCTTTGGAGAAATGTCTATTTGTGCCATTTACCTGTTTTTTAATTGGGTTGTCATTTTATAATAAGTTGTAAAAGTTCTTTATATAATCTAGATACAGGTACCTTATTAGATGTATAATTTGTAAATATATTCTCCCTGTCTATGGATTGTCTTTTCACTTCCTTGAAAATGTCCTTTGATGTACAAAAGTTCAGTTTTGAGGAAATCCAATTTATTTTTTTCCTATGGTTGCTAGTGCTTTGGTGTCATATCTAAGAGACCATTGCCTAATCCAAGGTTACAAAGGTTTATACTACGTTTTCTTCCAGGAATGTCATAGTTTTTGCACTTAAATTTAGGTTTTTGATCCACTTTGAGTTAATTTTTGTATCTAATATTAGGTAGGGCTCCAACTTCATTCTTTGCATGTGGATATCCAGTGACCCAACACCATTTGTTGTTTCCCATTAAACATCCTTGTGGATTTATTTATTTACTTACTTTTAACTCTGCTTCTGTTTTATGGCCTTCTTCCCTTTGTGGGGTTTGTTTTCATATACAAATAATTTTTAGAATCACTTACCATGGATATAGCAGAAAGATTGGACGTGCTTATCTTGCACTTTCACATTAAATCATCCCAGCATACTGTGTAACACAAAGCAATGTGAAATTACCACAGTATACCCCAGTTTGAGAAGGATGAGTTTGCACAAGTAATCTAGAAAGTTTACCATGTTATTGCTGTTTCTTTTCCATTGTGAAATGAAGCTGTGGTAGCTGGACAGTGGGTACATTAGAATCGGAAAATACAGGCCTGGGCCATTTTGTCGTAGCTTGCTTTCTCCTTCCTTCCCTCTTTTGTCTTTTCCTCCTCCCTATAGAGAATTGGTTATATATGTGATGAAAGGCTCAAGGTGCCAAAAAAGGAATGGTGAGGCAATCCAGAGATAAGTAGTAGTTAAGCAAGTAGTGGGCCTGTCATTCCAACACTTGGGGAGGCCAAGGCTGGAGGATTGCTTGAGGCCAGGAGTTTGAGACCAGCCTGGGCAACATGTGAAGACCCCATCTCTACAAAAAATTTAAAAAATTAACCAAGTGTGGTGGTACATGCCTGTAGTCCCAGCTACTTGGGAGGCTAAGGTGGGAGGATTGCTTGAGCCCAGGAGTTCAAGGCTGCAGTGAGCTGTGATTGTGCCACTGCACTTCAGCCTAGGCGACAGAGAGAGACCTGGTCTCTCAAAAAAAAAAAAAAAGGTAGGAGATGGTCCTAGAGGCCAGGGGCCAGGGTTACCTGGTAGGAACTGGGCTTATCCAGAAGGAGCCAAAGCCACTGGGGAGATTCAGTCTTAGAGAGAAAGGGAGAAATACCTGGTTTCTCCCACGTTCCAGTATACCGTGGGTCCCCAACCTATGGTGAGTTGCATAATTATTTCATTATATATTACAGTGTAATAATAATAAAGTGCACAATAAATGTAATGCGCTTGAATCGTCCTGTAACCATCCGCCTGCTCTCTGTTCCGTGGAAAAATTGTCTTCCATGAAAATGGTCCCTGGTGCCAAAAAGGTTGGGGGACTGCTGCGATATACCATCTCTGTTTTCCATTGGGGGAGCCCATCCAGAAGCTAACTGACAAGGCAGCTGCAGCCTATTTCTTAATGAACAGAATATAAAACTGTTCTTTAGCATGATTCTTCATTACCTATAAAAAATCAGTCTGGTGAGTTGCAACTTGTTCTTGTACTGAGAAGTAAATTTCTTAGTTGAGTATATTTAAATATTTGTGAGGTTTGAATGTATATTAAAATCTTTTTTCATAATCAACAACAAAATTACGAGTGCTTTGGAAAAATGCAGAGAAAGATATTTCATAATTCCCCACATGAGGAGAGCATTTGATACTCCTGGAAAGGAGTTATTACGAAGCAAAGCTATCTGTTATTTTCAGCAATTCAGCAGAACCAAGTAAGTAAGACTTTACAAATTTAAGATCAGACTTTCTCTCCAGTGGTCCAGCAGAGGGGGCCCTAGCACATGAATTCTGTTTCATTTTGTGTTTATATTCAGGTTTAGTTTAAAAATGAGAAAGTGGTAGTCCATTGCTTTTAATTATTGTTGAATTCCTCTTTTTAAAATTATCAAAACTAATTAGTTATAATTGTTATTTCATTCAAAGGTGGGAGAGATGGCAGAGGAGGTTAAAGTTTTTAACCCATATGAGTAAGAAAACATGTTCTGATGGTGCCGTCTGATCATAAGTGTTTGAGTGGTTTTGCTATCATAGTAATGTGTTTATTGATTGCGTTGTTTCCATCTGTCCTTTTTTCCAGTCGCATTGTCAACACCTTCATGACTTTTCTCTCGGGTTATTATAATAGTTTTGTAACTAGTTTTCTTACTACCTTTCTTCCTTCAAATTATTTCAAATAGTGTAGTCAGATCTTCCTAAAGCACGATTCTAAT